GGGGGGGGGCATCGGGATAATATCGGGAGTCTAAACAGACCCCTGACACTTCCGCTTTGAAATAGAGGACTCTGTGTCTTCAATTTCTTTTTCTTTTTTCTATCTCTTTTTCATGCAGCCTCTGTTCTGACAGAATGGAAAGCTCTTAGTACAGACGCTTCCCATTCATTCACAAGCTGGAGATACTAAATATTTACTTTTTACTATCAACCAGTTATGAATGGATAGAAGCCTCTGAACTGAGCGGCTTCTACCCATTTAGAATCTCATGAATGAACAAGAAGTGATGTAAAGCAGTTCCTGTTCATTCATAACTTGGGACACATAGTACTATGTGTCTCTAGTAATTGTTCTGCACACAGAGGATCTGTAAACATAACACATATTCACTGATCCTCCGCTCTGCCACGCACACAGCCGCTGTTATCCTGAAACTGACATGATGATAGCGGTTCTTCTCTCCTCCCCACTCAGCCATCTTGATGACTGCCACGTTTCAGCTGCGACCATGAGCTGATAGCAGAAGGGAGAATGCCACCAAAGTATGGCTTACTGACTTGGCCAGCTGCAAGCGGTTGTGTTCCACCGTAAGCCCTACGTCAGTGGCAGCGAAAAGGGTTAAAGCTATCATTTTCCGAAGGAGTGCACATATTTCTTCCACGACAGGTGTTCCTTAAAGGGGTCACTTACATACATGGTTTCTGAATGGTGAACATGTCATTAAAATCTCAGTTTTAATATAATATATATTCATATTAAAGTGTATATAGTCGAAGCTACTTTTTTTTGGGGGGGGATAGCGTACAGAAGAACTAAAATCCCCTATCAGGTTTCTTTTTGCTGTACGTGCTCTGCTTTGGAGATTAGCCCTTACTTCCTGTCTTGAAGATGCAGCAGGAAGTGAAGAGAATTCCCATCTTAGGAAGTATTCATAATAATGATACTATTCCGAAGTACAAATGCACACATGTTTGCAGTTAACAGAATAATTTTTTTTGTAACAGATTTCTCAGAAGATCTTATTAAATTGTCTGCCTGTGGTGCAGGAATTGTATATACACAAAGCATGCCAAACTTACCATATTGATATATGTAAATTCCCTTTTGTTGTTGGTAAACACTTGTTGTGTTTGTTACAGGAAATGCTACTCCATTAATTCGACCACTACAACCCTTACACCAAATCCGCCCAGTTTCTACACCAGCAAGGACAGCACCCACTTTCATTCATAGGTCTCCTGCTCCTACCCCATCGATGCTGCAAAACAACCTAATACCAGTACTTCAACAGCCTTTACAGCAGAATTCACAGAAAACCCAACAAACTATCCTTACACAAAGCTCCTCAGGTATTAGAATGCCTTCCACATCTTGAAAGGATAATCAGTAAATTAAAGAATTGTAACATTTCCCCATAACTATAGGCGAGATTGGCTAAGCTGTGTTGACACACATAAGATACGACACAGAAAAATGAAATGTGGGGCAGTTGGCTGTAAATATGGGATGGTGTCATGCATGTGACAAGGAGCTCCTCCCTAAAATACTGTGCAAGAAACAAACCACTATTTCTTTCTTTAAAGCAAACATAGGTCGAAATGAAAATGCACCAGCTGCTAAACGACCAGCTACTATCGATCTCACAGATGACTCCCCGAAAAGGCAAAAAACCAATGAGAATTTAGCAGATAATAGGCCACTTGGAGCTTCTCCCACAGTATCTACTCCAATGTCAATGGCTGCGAGACAACAGCAAACAACTCCATTGCAAGATACACCCACAAAAGGTACCTAAATATTTGATTATTTCATCTATGTCATATTTTTCATACATAATGTATAGAAAACATCCACCAGAACTCTTGATTAAAGTTAATAGCTCCACCTTTTTTTTCCCCCAAAAAAAAAGTTAATGCAGGTAGCGGTTCAGGAACAACTCCAACAAAAAACGGAATGCCTTTTCCTCGAGCTTGTCCGAAATGCAATATTCACTTCAACCTTTTGGAACCTATGAAGAACCATATGAGGGTAATGAAGATCAATCAATTTTCTATTTATTGTTGTATATTAATCAAGAATGTAGCACATTAAAAATGTTGTAACAGAAGTGAGATTGTTACAAAATATTCACAGACTAGTACAGTTTTTAACAAGTAAAGTTAGGAAAGGTGCAGACAAAGTAGATATCCTTTGTGGCTATTGATGAATAGTGTTTGCATTAGAGTTTGTCTTGTGACTTTAAATGGAATGTTTTTCGGTTTTGTGTATATCTTATTTCTTTATTATAATCAGGGCTAACCTATTAATTTGCCAGCTAAATATGAAAAATTGCATATGAATATTTTTTCAGTCAGCAGGTGGAGCTCAAGGCTCATTTTTTGTGTGTTTTTAGGGTATTCTTATCTGCTTTGCTGAAATTAAAAGCCTGTTTGAAAGTCAGATCTGAATTGGTCAGAGCTATGGCTCACCCACCCTTCTCAGATGCGTGACCTATGAAACTTCAAAGTGACTGTTTGAATCCCTTTTTGCTTTGCTCTGTTTAGAAAACTCCTAGTTCTCTGCGAATCCTGTTTCATGTATTCCCCCTTAAAGGGTTATTAAACCCTCAGTGTGTTTTTTGCATCTATCTACTGCTAGCAAGCAGTAGATAGATGCAAAAACTTTAAAAAAAAAAACCTTTTGAAAGAGGTTTAGACTTACCTGTTAAAAAAATGGTAGTAAATGGCGAGCGCACAACAAGTGTAAATTTGTGGAAAGCTTTATAAAAAAGGATTTTAAAAGGATTTAAAAAACAGGTTTGGGTGAGCGAACTACTTAGTCAGGGAGAGGAACCCTGTGGGCAATGATAAAAAACACAAAGAAAGAAGCGCTACAACCCTAGGATTCTTATTGTTAAACAGTTTGGAAACATTGTATAAATCTCGATGCAGACTCACTTTTGGACAGACGAGGTGGTGTCTTGCCGTTGAAGAGTGAGGGCTGTATGTCGGCTTAGATCACAGGGCGGCATCTATGGCTGGTCTGTGTGGATGTAAGCATCGGGCTACACAGCGTCTAAAGGGTCCATGGGTGTTGAGGAATGATAGATGTGACTGGTGGGTCCATGCGAGCGGGATGTTTATTTCAGACACTCTCCGTCAGGTGCAGTGAGAGCACAGCTGGCCAGGCTGCCACTCGTCGGCTGAACGGGAGCAGAAGTGCCGCTATATAGCAATCTAACAGAGGGTCGGCAATCGTTGTGAAAGAGGTTCAGGAGCGGGCACCAGGCTGAGGGACCATGCGGTCCGTGAAGTGGTTGGCTTGGCTACGCGTTTCGAGGCTCTGTACCTCTTCTGTCAAACCAGGAATAATTCCTCACTCTTCAACGGCAAGACACCACCTCGTCCGTCCAAAAGTGAGTCTGCATCGAGATTTATACAATGTTTCCAAACTGTTTAACAATAAGAATCCTAGGGTTGTAGCGCTTCTTTCTTTGTGTTTTTTAAACTTACCTGTGCCTTCGCCGCAGGCTCCCGTCCTAACATCTGAAGAGTCTTGGGCGGCTGCAAAGGATCTTGGGGCAGGCGCATGCGCAGTTCAGATGTTCGGCCCGGAGATGAGGAGAGACACAAGGTAAGTCTATGGAGCAGCGTGCACCCGCACAGACTCTGTGGGACGTCAGAGGAGTCAGCGCTGGATCGGAAACCCACACCGGCGCTGGAGGGACATCTGAAAACTACACTAAAGAAGAAGATGATCGGATTAAGAGGCATTATTTAAGGTAAGTCCTTACACTAACATTGGGGGTGATTATCCTTTAATGTCACTTTCAGTGTGAATTTGTAAAACAAAAATATTAAATAGATAGTAAAAGGCATTGCATCAAAACAGATATAAATGATCACCTTAAAAAAATAATAAACTTTAGAAATGCAATTGGCCACACACCCTCAACCAACCTAGGCTCAACTCAGGTGCTGGATGGGAGGTTCTGCTCTGGCAGGTTTCCTTTAACCCCTTTGTGAGGAGATACACTGTACGTCCCGCCACAAAGTGCTTAAATGACTGGCCACGTACACTATACGTGACCAGTTATTTGTGGCTCTGTAATACTGGTAACCGCTGATTCTCATCGGTTACCATTCATTAATGACTGCCTCAGTATTGAGGCATTCATTAATGTAATAGTTAAGTTTTAGTAAAAGCTTCTTTCTTTCATTAATGAAAGAATGAAGCCGTTACATACAAATACCAGATCGCTAGATAGATCGGTATTTGACAGCTGAAGATAGCAGAGAGGTAGCAGAGTGAGTCACCTCTCTGCTATTCGTTTTGACAGCTCCATAGACTGGCCCCATGTTTATGACGCTGTGTGATACAGGCACAATGTTGCAATGTGTCCCTCTACCTGAAATGTATCACTTCTGATCGTCTAGGCACCACCAGAAACCTTTTGTGAGATCTGATTCTGACATGCTGTCAGGATCAGTCTCTAAGGTTACTAGTTGTTCCTAAGTTTGGAGCAGCCTAATAATAACCAAAAATGAAAAAAGTTAATTTATCAAGCAGTCATAGTGACTGTAGAGCCAAAGGAAATCTCACCACTCCAATTCCTTAGTCACCATCAGGACTCCCCAGGTGCTGGTCCAATAGGTGCGTCTCCACCTTAGAATGCCGCAGTAACAGACCGCACTATCCAGAGAATTCCAATACTGCAGACTTTATTGAAATTCACAGCAAATCCAGTATATCAGTGAATAAAAATGAATAGAGCAACAAATGCCAGCACTGGACACCCCCAACCAAATTACAACCTCTCACATGTTTCACCCAAAGGCTTACTCATAGAGGTATAGTGACTGCTTGATATAAACTGAAAAAAAATTCTATATAAATATATTTTTTATGATATAAAAAATAATAAGAATAATCAAAACTTGTGAAAAAAGTGTTTTCTTTAAGTTTTTTTCATTTAAAAAAAATATATTTTTTAAATATTTTATTCAAACTAAGTAAGGCGTTAGGGCTATATAATTATAATCAAACGTGTACCTATCTGTCCTCTAAAAAACAATATATAATATGTGTGGGTACATTTAGTAAGAAAGTATATTACTGCCATGGAAGAATCACACAGCAAAAATGTAAAAAGTGTGTCAGTCATTTTATGAACAGAAACTGAAAAGAAGCTCAGTCATGAATGGGTTAAAAGGCACATGTTGTCATGATGACATTACAAGTGTTAATGAGAAGAAGAATGTGATTTTGAAACACCACAAATCCAAATGTAGATAAGAGCATTACCAAGTATGTCTAATACAAAAACAGCCTGTGGTATACTAGGGGACAAAATAACCTGTATTATGTATAGAAATGTTATATGTTCTTCCACATGTGCTTCCTTATAGTGGGTAACTAATGTTTAGTATCTCATCTGATGATAATGACTGTATTTTGCATATCAAGTAAAGTATCAAGACTTGGCATACATTGGAAATCAGAATGATTGTTTAATTCTTATTCATGTAATAACATGACAACAATTGCCTTCTTTCTTGATTACAGTATTGTTGTCCAGAAAGGATGCAACAATTTTTCCCCAGAGTAGAAAACGCAGAAGTTCCAAGAGCACACAATCCAACAGAAGAGAATGACAAGGGAAAACTGATAATGTTGGTCAGTGAATTTTATTATGGAAAGCATGCTGGGGACCCTCTGCTGGTACAACAAGACCAGAAGACAAATACGACTTTCAAGTGTTTCAGCTGTCAGAAAGTTCTCAAAAACAATATAAGGTATGTAAACATTGTTAAAAACCTTGTTACAATGTACTGGCATGATTTTGTAACCGCCGTAGAGAATATTAACATTAATGAGATTAAAAAAAGGTTTTCCATTTTGCCTGTGAAAAGCTGTGGCCAGTTTCCTCCTAAACCTCTTTGACCTTTTAATTAATTGTAACGTTTTACTTGATGCTAAAGTCTCACAGCAAATGAGTCACCCTGCGGTCTGGGATGTTACCAAGAAACTGTCCTCACTAGTCAGCCTGTGCATCTTTTGCCCAAAAACTATAAATCAGTATGGTGGGTGAGGAAAAGAAAGTACTAACCTGTTTTGTGGTTATTGGATTCTTTAGCATGTACATTACAATGTGATGGTTTTGCTAATCAATCAATGAGGTTTTCCATTTCAATGTCCTATTGCAGTATGGAGAAAAGAGGAAAGAAATGGTTTATTTGTTGTGGTTAGCCAGTACCAGTTTTTCCTATATTTTGAAAAATAAAGGCCTCTGCATCCTATGGACCATCAGTATAATGGGATATCTGTAAAAAAAGCCTTTCTGGATGGACATACAATAAATAGGTTGTATATTATTGCTTAAAGCAAAATTGCAATTTCTCTTTCACAATTACGGTGTTTAGAACTAAAGCACATAATGTACATTTTTCTTGAGATATATCTTAATTTCAGTAATATTTCCCATGTTTTATTGCTACATTTGTGCTTGATAATCTGTTTTAGGTTGAGTGAAAAGCTTGCTTTTCGTTCAGTAAATTTATATTAATTTAGTAAAGAAAGGTAGACAAACATTGAAGTAATCGCAGACCTCCCAACTGTAAAGATCAAGCACATAGGCAAAGCACAAAAATAAATAAATAAAAGTGCAATGCACTAATAAGTTGATAAAATACCTATTATATATAAAATACTAAAAGTTACCCAAATCAATTCATTGAAGTACATAATAGAAAAATGATCAAAAACTATGATTGATAATTAGCAATCACAGCATAAACCATGATTAAAGACAGTGTAAAAATTCATACTGTGCCCATAACATCCATAAACTGTGTCCATACAACAAAAAGTTATTGTCCAACAAACAGTGAGGTGATATGAAATGAACAATGTTCCAATAGCTGCTCTGCTCTCTTACAATTGCCTCACTCGCCGGACCAAAATGACCAACTGAGTTCAGAAGGTCATACACAGCTCATTATGGCAAAACCCTACGATCGGGAACGGTATCATTCATCCAGCTTGGCTTTTCCCCTGCCACTTCTCCACCTCTCCTAAGCCAGTTTTGCATGACTCAAAACATTAGTCTTCACACCACCGTCGCCATGTAATCAAATAGATACTCCTAGTGTAGTAAATTAAAATCCGAAGTTTATTAAAATCGCCGACATAAAACACCAATGAGCTCACTCTTCCGTGCCCTCTGTGTGTGACGTCAGCAAAAAGCCCGTCTAAGCTGGATGAATGATACTGTTCCTGAAACTTTTCTCTAAATATACCCTTAAAATTAGACAGTGGTAGTTGATGCAGTTTATGACAGGGTGATTTATTATTTCATTTGGGACAGACACACACACTGGTGTTAAGCGGCACTAAACCCTCCGATTGTTTACATTTGCAGTTGCCATAGTGTTCCACATGTGATCAACTAGGACACCAGCCATTTGAGGGTTTGGCCTGACATAACACTCTGACATGCTTTGTATGTAAAACGGTTGTCAGTGGGTTTAGTTCCTCTTTAAGTCCTGTTCTTGGTTATTGCTATGTGTCATAAACTACTGTATCACATTTAATAAATCCCCAGCAAACAGCATAACACCAGTGCCAAGTCCCCTACTCTGCACTATGCTATTTAGATTAGATTAATTGTGTTTTATCACCGTATTCAGCGCTATTGTCTTAGGGGATACACATGAATAATTGTTGTATTTTTGCCTGTGGTAAGGGCTGCTATTAGATGTTGTTGCCTTGATTGAATAACTTCTACTTTCCATATCAGCAAAAAAGGAAATCGTGATCTTCTTTATTAGGCACACTAGTTTGATTAAGGACCTTTGCCTGGCAGCTAAGGTCATGGTACTTCCATGTAAGAACCTGAAGGAGAAGCTGAAATAGCAGAATGTGAAGCTGAAAAATGTCTCAAGTCTACAAAGGGCATCGTTTGCAACTTGAAATGTACAGACTAGCTTTTGTTCATATCATTAAGGAAAACAAAAGCCTGTTGTAATTGCAGGCTTTAAAATCTCTATTACATACACTTCGAACCAAAGACGCAGGTTGAAGCTCAGGCAATTTGTCTTGTAAACAGCAGGAAACTAATGTATGTAGTCAAGAACTGTCATTCTTGAAAATGAGTTGCCGTTGCAGCCTTTCTCTTGCTGAAATCATATTTAATAAGTTTGTTTTATGACAGAAGCTGTATTTTTACAAGACTTTTATTCCAGTTTGCTTTGTCTGTTTGTTTAGACAGATTTGCAAATTGGTTTCTCTTCTTTTAATGTGACAGATGAAGTAAGAATTAAATCGTATCTTACCTAAAAACAAAAATGTAATATATTGCAGCTTAGATGGTGGTGGCTGCATTCGTTTTTTTTTCTCTTTTTCAGGGTTTTGTCTGTCTTTTCACCTAGTGATCCTAGGTGGACTTCAAACATGTCTGCCTTTCGCTCATCTCCACATGATGGATTGATAGGCCTAGCAGTTTACATAATAAAGATACAAATGTTTGTGCTTTCTTCTCAGCTCACAGAAAGTGATAAGGACACTACAGTTCTGGCAAGATCAACAGATATTCCTGTACTTGCTGAAAATGTCCTTAGCCTGAAAAATAATAATGAATGCAGCCACTACATCTGGTAAGCTGCAACATATTACGTATTTGTTTTTGAGTTTAGATACACCTTATGTACTTCAGTTGTAAATAGCAGTTTTGTTTTTTTTCATTTTACATTCACAGATATTTACAGCAGATGACACTGTTTTGAGCAAATGTGGAAACGTTTGAATTTTGCCTTTTCTCTGCAGAACAATTATCTTTTTTACTGTGTGTGCACTGCTTCTTCAAGTCACCTGGGTCAAGGAGAAAACTTACTCAAATTCGAGCAGCTTTATTGGCATAAACACAGTAAAAGGATCATTCCCTTTTCTGTGGGGAAAAGGAAGCAATTCTAGGTCAAAAGGTTGCAGACAGATGAATACATTTCAGGCGTTCAGTGAGATATTAGAACCAAGCTCTGAGAAGATCCTTCTGAAATCCAGGGTGGTCTTCCTTGCTTGTAATTTTACTAACTTTTTATTGCCCAACAGCCTGCAGCATAAAAGCTCAGGTAATTCAAAAGGCATTTTGAGCAGTGAAGGTGCTGGTTCTGTCATTTTGTAGCTAATAATAAATGTGCTCCTTTCAGATATTCAGTTAGAACATGTTGATGCTAGATGAAAAGCAAATGTTTTTTGTGTGTGCAGTCTTCTTGCAGTGCCCACGTGAAATGGCTGCAGGCCAGACAGATTATCTTTCCTGAATCATTGTGCTTTATTTAGGTGCCTGATGTTAAGAGGTCTGGCTAGTGAGGGGATTGGCCTCCTCTGTGCTTAGACAATTCTTAATCAAGTGCAGAAATTTTACAGTATACCGGAAATTGTAAGAACCTTGCTAAACCGTTTAGTGTCTCCGGATTGGTCTTGCTCGTTTATACATAAATTGCTAGAGTTAACATTATTAATGCTCAGATCAATTGCATAGCTTCAGAAATTTGTTTTACTTGCCAACTGTCACACATATAGAGATTTGAAGGGAAACTGTTATGGCTTCAGGGTTAGTGTTGAGTTGTTGTTGTTGTTGTTGTTGTTTTTTTGTTTGTTTTGTTTTTTTAAAGTTTTTTTTTTATATTTTTAAAATCTTCCTTTTTATTAATTTATTTTTTAAATCTATGCAATCTTCGTTTTACAGATAAACATATAATGCATTACAAACCATGCCCAGAGCATGATGGGTTTAGGTAAAGGGATATCGCAACACACATTACCTGCTTTGTAGTTCTGGTTTGCTTTATAAGGGAGGAGTCCGTGCTCTGACTAATTTACGTATATAAATTTCAGCTTCAGCTGTTGAGTTCTGTAAACAGACATTTCATTAAAGAAGGGAAGAGATAGCCTGACAATTGTGAAAAGGAGCTCCCTCTGTGTGTATACCTTCTTGCAGACAGCAGTGCTGGCCTACATCCGCTTTTCTCAACCAGGGTACTACAGTACCCTGGGTAGTCTCCTGACTTCCTCAGGGGTGCCTTGAAATTTTTGCAAAATGCCATGTCATTACCATGCACCGTGCAAATTAATGACACTAATCCAGGGAGGGAGGGGAATCTATTCACTAGAGGTGCACCGAAATGGAAATTTCAAAACCCGAAACGAAACCAAAATTTAAAAAATTGTCAGGCTGAAACCGAAAATGTTTTTTTTACTTTAATGTTTTTAATATTTATTTTTTTGAATTTATTTTTTATAAACGTTTTAAACAGAAATCCTCTATGAGTGTTCCTGTTCATTCATAATATGAGTACATAGTATGTTTACTGTAACTACAACTATGAATGAACAGGAGGTGATGTAGATCACTTCCCACTCATTCATAATTGAGCATATAGTGCACATACTATGTCCTCAATTATCTACAAACACTCATCGATCACTGATCACTGACTGCTTGTACCAGGCTCTACTCCCTGACACGCTGTCACAAGAGGTTGAGCGAGCGGTGCAGGGAGGAGAGCCCGAGCTGTCTCCGCCCACACACCGCTCTGCCGGACTGTGATAGGAGGCTGAGCGAAGTAGGAGAGACGCTGTCCGCTCACGACGGTCTCCTCCCGCATCGCTGGGCCGGCTGTCACACTTTCTCTCCTCCCCGCTGGGACACAGAGCAGCGCCCAGCGGGGAGGAAAGAAAGCAGGGATGCACCGATATATCGGCAGGAAAATTGCACTTTCGGCATTTAGCCAAAAGTGCAATTTTTGGCCGATATATCGGTGCATCCCTTTGTGCACTATTCACAAAAGTTTGCATCTGCATGCTTTGCCTCATGCCCTCTCCCAGCTGCAACTCCTGATGTGATAGTAGTACCCTGATGTAAAGGGGGGACTGAGGCTCCTGATGTGAAAGAAAGTGCCCCACTTTTTTTGTATGAGTGTGGTCCCCCATTAAAGTCTACATTAGATTTAGGAGGGGCTACTTTTTTTTTACATTTTATGTTTTTACATTTCATACTGGGGTGAGTTAAGATTTTTAAGGGTGTCATGACCGGAAAAAAAGGTTGAGAAAGGCTAGCTTAGACAATGTTGTAAAATGCTGACTGGCCTAATCTAGTAATCACCAGTAACAATGGAACAATCTGCTATCTCTGTGGACTACAAAAGTGTGTTTAATTGATTTTATTTTCCTTATATTAATTAGGGAATAAAAAAATGCATCACACAGCTCTGTCAAAGCAGAAACAAACATTATTGTAAGACAAACAGCTGAATCTGTCAGGTATACTATACTTGCAGTGACATCAGTAGCAGTGTTTATGTGGGGAATTATTTCCTGTACTTTTACAGTATGTTTTGATTTTGTAAGCTGACGACCAAGGCCGAATTTCCCACAAGGCCAACCAAGGCCCGGCCTCGAGGCAGCGGGGAGTAGATGGGCAGCAGGGGTGTGAAATTCATATCTCCCGTTGCCCTGGACATGCAGTTCCGGGCGCCGGGCAGGTAGTTTTGTACATTCAGCCCTGCTTTGGAGAAGAACTAAATTCCACCTGTTTTATACAAGTGATCTAGGCAATGTCGTCGAGATCACTTGTATGCAGCCTGCAGGTCTGCCATTCTCCATGGGGGGAGGTTTGGCGGCGCATTGAGGACCTGGCCTTTGGACAGCAGAGAGAGAGTAAATCCGGCCCTGCTGACAGCTCCAGAATATTGCAAGATAGAGTAGTAGCTGAAGTTAGCATTTAAATATAAAGCTGCTATGCATGAAAAGTTTTTCATTTTTTTTTACATGCCCATAGTAATATAAAATCAGTTAGTTTTGTTTTGTCAGAACGGTTTGCCTTTCTATTGAGGATAATGCTTTAGCCAGAGTTTCATTTTGCCATTGGGAGTTTCTGCCTCCAATGGGGATTTCTCCTTCTGCTTCCTCTTCCACTACCCACCACTTCCTCTCTTTATGGTCAAATACATTGTAAGAAAATGGCATTGCAACCCCCTGATCAGTCACCCCCTTTGATCAGATGGGCATGTCTTTCTGCTTCTACCAGCCCCTGCAGGAATGTGCTTAAAACTCCGTGCTGCTGCCAACGTAAGCCTTATGTCGGTGGCAGCGAAAAAGGTTTAAAACATTGTTTTTATTATCAAAGTCGGATGCCTGTAACTGGTAAGCCCAAGCGCTTAAGGAAATTAAAACCTAACATATAATGTTGTTGGTATAATGATTTAAATGTATTTGAATGATTTGTGTGGGGTTTTTTTGTTTTGTTTTGTTCAGGTTTATCAGTTAAAGGGGTTCTAAACCCTCCGTTTTTTTTGCTTATATCTACTGCTAGCAAGCATTAGATATAGGCAAGAAGTGTAAAAAAAAACCGCTTGAAATCATTTTAAACTTACCTCGTTATCGCTGCTCGCTCCCGCGCCGAGAATCAGGAACTGCTCGTACGGCCGCAAAGGATCTTGGGGCGGGCGCATGCGCAGTTCCGATTCTCGGACGGGAGACGAGCAGAGACGCAAGGTAAGTCTATGGACGCGTGCACCCGCATGCAGACACCGCTGGATCGGAGGGACAGAGCAGTCAGCGCTGGATCGGAGTGACGCCGCACCGCTGGAGGGACACATGAAAACATGGGGAAAGAAGAGGAAGATCAGAATAAGAGACATCATTTAAGGTAAGTGCTCTCATTTACATGGGGAGGGAAAACATTTTTTTGCCTTTTTAATATCACTTTAAGTATTTTTAATTAAGGCTGTGATGCATGCAGATTTTCTTCTTGCTCAGCTACTTTATTTGCAGTTACCATATATGTGCCTGTTATTGTTTTCTTGGTTAGGTTTATGAACCACATGAAGCATCATTTGGAACTTGAGAAGCAGAGTACAGAAAGTTGGGAAAACCACACCACCTGTCACCACTGTTATCGCCAGTTCCCAACTCCTTTCCAGCTGCAGTGCCACATTGAAAGTTCTCACACGCTCTATGAATCCACAAGTAAGATCAGAGGGCTCTATTCTGTGTTCTAGATCTTTATAATTCATCCACTGGTGAAAGCACCTTTTAGTAAAGCTGAAAGAAGTCAATTTCATGTTAAGGCAGTAGTTGTAATGCACTTCATTTTCTACTTTAAGCTTTGTCTCAAATTGAGCACAGCTCAATCGGCTTTTACATTTTTATTTTCTTAACTGTGGAGTTTTTAAAAAAAAGATTTAAGCTGGTTGCTATGGGCAACCATACCAGTTGAGAGAGAACTCGCAGACACTTTTTATTAATTCCCTTTCATTAAAAGCTTAATGGCTGCACTCCAATTGACAAAGTTTGTCTCAGACACTTCCCCCTAACGCGTACTGAGTTGGCCTCACATAAAAAAAATCTAAATGTCAGGAGTTTGTTTAGCTTTTTCTGGTTTAAAACCAGAAAAGTGGCAGTGAGATGTTAATTCTGTAGTTCTAAATGAACCTTTTTATATGAGTGTATTTTTGCCCAAATCTGGAAAAACAACAGTTTCAGTTCAAACCTTTTGCTGCCAAGCCATGTGTTCCGCTGCTAACTTCAGCTGGCCAGACCATTTTTGCTAATTTTTACTTTTCACTGAAGTGACCGTGAGCTTATAGCAGAAGGGGGAATGCTAAAGGTGCCCATACACCTTACGATTATCGGACGATAATCGTATGCGATCGCCTTTTCGAACGACAATCGTACTTGTGAATAGAGTGCCCGAACCGACATTACTGTACAATCGTACGACTTTTGGCGGTCAAGCATGTTTGAAAACTTTGCTCGATCGTACGATTGTCGTAAGGTTGCTGGCGTTTCCGTCCGTCAAAAGTCGTACGATCTACACTGCGAATGCGCGAACGAAAATACGACAAATCAATTACCGCATTTCGTCCAGGTGCTTTTCGTTAATTACGGCCAAATTAATCTTGCGATCATCGGGGCAGGATGGGTCTGCCTTACGAAAATCGTACGACTATTCGATCATCGGATGAAACGTTTCGTCCTATAATCGTAAGGTTTATGGGCACCTTTAGGCTTACTGAGCTGACCAGCTGGAAGTGGACTTGTTCCAATGTAAGCCTTGCATCCTTGGTAGCCAAAGTGTTAAAGCCCAATTTTACTTTAACCCATAAGTAAAAACAAATTCGGCCAGGTTGGATCATAAAGCTAGGTAACAGTTGTCTTACAGTTTATTCCTGTTGGGATTAAGACTCCTTGGGCTGAGATTAGTACTTTACTTTTTGATCCAACCTGGCTTTATTTCTACAATCTATGAACAAATCACAGTAGCCTTCTGCCCAGCTTATAGTTACCTCTTCTGCTGGCAAGGCCCTTGCACTACATAGTCGTTGGTAGATCCAATGGAGATTATACACTTCGATTTTAACATGTTGTGAACTAAAGTCTGTGTTTTCACAGGGCTGAGAAATCTTATCCTGCCCCTGCGTGACTTTGCTTGTGCCTGAGCAGGCAGTCGCCAAGCATTGTTAGTAGGAAAGGGAGTGATAACATGATCCCTGATGTCCCCAAGTAGCAGGCATTTCCCTTTACTCCCAATGCTGAATGGATCTATGGGGGGGGGGGG